ATCTTTATTCTATTGAGAAAAAACACCAGCTGCCATGTCACCTGAAACAAGGTAAAAATATAGGAAGCGGTAAATTTTTCATTGTAATTTTTTTTTAAGTTAACCACCACTTTCAAATGTGGGCAAAGCTTGTGGAACGTGTCAGGTGCTAGAGGGCCACATATGGTCTTGAGGCTGCAGGGTCCCCATCCGTGACCTAAGATTTGTTTCAAGGCAGAGAATCAGGCCTTTATCATTCCACCTCTGATACCAGCTCCTGATACCAGATACATGGGAAGCTACTTTATATTTCTGTCTCCTCTATTAGCAAGATGTAAGAAAGATAAGAAAAAGAATCTTTTAAACAACTCTAAGTATGGCCCTAATGTCATTCCCAGTTGCTAAATACAATATTTAATGTCAGTGGGTCAGCATGAAGATTCACTGAAAAGACAAGATACAGGCTAAGGCACAAAAGTCTTAACACATTTCAACAAAGCAGCTCACTTATGAGGCCAGGAGTGAGATCCCAACTAACCAGATAAACAGTCAGCTGATGCTATTACGAATTCAATTTAATGCTAAGTAGTAAGAAATAGCCAAAGTTCTCATTCTGTTTTTATCTAAAGAAACTGGAAATGCAGCCTCAGTTCCACAAGTATTAGGCAAGGTATACTGTGCACTCTCTGGTAGGTGTTGAAAGGGCAGAGGTGTCAAACACACCCAAGGCCTGTAACAACATTCCAGAATGCCCCTAAACCAGATTCAAATGTAATTGGGAATAGATAAGTGGTCAACATGCATGAACAAACAGTTCTCTAAAGAATTGAAAAGTATTCATAACCACTGTCAACAAAAATACTCCAAATCACTAATAATAAAAGAAATACAAATCACCTCACACCCTGCAAATTGGCAAAGATTAGCAAAAAAAAATGGCACTAATCAATGATGAGAGGTTGTGGAATGATAGGCACACTTATGCATTATTGGTGGAGCTGGGAAACAGTACAGCCATTTTGAAAAGCAATTTGGAATTATGCAAATGAAGTTACTAAACTGTTCCTATCCTTTGACCCAGAGACTCCCCAAAGAAGCCATTAATAATAAGAAAAGTCCCCATGTACTCCAGAATATTTATAGCAGCACTTTTTTGTGATGGCTAAGAACTGGAAACAAAGTAGATGCCCATCAGTTGGGGAATGGCTAAATAAACTGTGGTACATGAATGTAATGGAATACGATGGTGCTATATAAATAATGTGTATGATGAACACCGAGAAGCATGAAAAGATCTCTATGAACTGACGCAGAGCGAATTCAGCAGAACCAAAGACAACAGACAATAATTGCAACGATGTAAATGGAAAGAACTACACACCAAAAAACCACAAGTGAATGTAACAAAACTATAAAGATCGGCAGGACTCAGGTGGAGAGATGTGAGGAGACTCCCCAAACCGCCCTTTCGTGGAGGTGGGAGCTCCACCAGCACTGCACATCATACATGTTTTCAGACTTTTTCAACGTATTGATCAACTGACATTTCTTTTCCTTCTCTAAAAAACAGTATTTGTTATATATGATGGCTCTCTGGGAGGGGCAGAAGGAGTGACACATGGGATAATTATGGAAACATCAATAAAAACTACTTTTTTGGGGAAGCAATCATGGTTACGTTACTTGTCCAAGGTCACACCGCTAGTATGTATCTGAGGCCACATTTGAATTCAGGTCCTCCTGACTTCTAGGTCCGTGCTCTACCTACTGTACCACCTACTGCCTTCTCACTTATAAAAACATAATTGGGAAACAGTTGACAAAATAAACAAAAATACAATAGGACATACAGTTAATATGAGGCTTCCTAAGTTAATACACGCCTGCAGGGATCCCAGTATATGGTTTTGTGGCCCCATTTTATTTGCATTTGACACCACTGTGGTAGGGGATACAAAGATGAATAAAGAGAAAATAGCTACAGAATACCTGAAAATGTAAGCTGTATATCTCTTTATCATTAGTTTAACAGCAGCTCACTGGATTTGATATAGTGCCCTGTTCTCCTGACGACAGCAGAATCTGTTCATGAGTTAGACGCTCAATAAAACTGCTTTCCAGTTGAGCTCACACCCTGGTTCCACATTCAGAGAGGCTTGCCAAGGCAGGTGTATGGAGCACACCTTATTTATCTGGCTAATTCAGAGGCCCAGCAAACCAGGGCCACAAAGTGTGGAGCAATGGAGTAAGAGCTGGCAGAGAATCACGAGAACTGGGGCCTGGGAACCTTGGGCAAGTTACTGCTTGGCCTCTCTGGGCCTCAGCTTCTCCTTCTGTAAAATGGGGGAGCCGGAGACCTCTCAGGTCGCAGCCTGACAGGACTGAGTGGCAGAGGAGATCACAGTCCAGGGGCTCTCACAGGGGTCTACTGGGGTAGCACCCTTCAGTTTAAACAAACCTTCAGCAGACCCAGGTAGTCAAATCCTCTCACACTGTTACTTTTAATGCTTATTGACAACATAAGGTTCATTAAAACCAAAACAAAACCTGGGGGTATTTTAGAATTCTTTGCAGCAGTTTGAGAAAAGCTGATCTAGTCAATCCCCTTCCTTTTACAGATACCCCTTAAAATTATATAATATCCATATGGAAAAAGGCTCCAAATCCCTAGTCACTAAAAATGCCAATTTAGACAACTTTAAGTTTTCCATCTGCTTCTACTTAACAAATTGACAAAGACGATAAAAGAGGGAGGCAGTTGAAGTCGGTGGAGCTTGGGAAGACGGGCACATGTCTACACTGCAAGTGAACCATTCTGGAAAAGCTTGGGAATTATTGGGAATAGTCACTAAGCTGTCCACAATCTTTGACCCACCAATCTCATGATTAGGCATATGCCCCAGTGAGGTCAAACAGAAAGAAAAGCTCTATAGATAAGAAAATATTCATAACAACACTTTCCACGGTATCAAACAACAGCAACCAAAGCGGATGTCCATCGACAGGCGAGTGGCTGAACAAATTTTGGCATGCAGTTGTAACGGAATATTTTTTCGCTGTACAAAATAACAAAATAACAAACGTGAAGGTTGAATCATGGGAAGACACACATGAGCTGAGACTGAGGGAGACTAGCAGAATCAGAACAGTACACACAACAGCTAAAATCACACAAATCACGCAAAGACAAAAAGGAAGCTATGCTCTAAGATCCGGGCCCCCGAGAGCACCAGGGGACGGCACTTTTACTGCTCTCCTTTCCAGGCCCAGTCAATGGGCCAAGTGCTTTCTGCCTAATTGACTTTCCTTGTAATAAGAGCTGGAGGAAGAGGAGGGGGGGAGGGAAGACAAAGATGACTTCGATGTCAAAAGAAAAGCTATCAACTAAATGTACTGATTCAAATTAAAAAATAAAGCCTGAGGACCTGCTGAAAGATGGCCAGATTCTGTGTTAGGTTTAAGAGAAGGCTGAAATCCCAGCAACTGGCAGGCCATGCTGGTAATGTTGCCTCCAAAAGAGGCTGGTGGGGAATCTGGGAGCGCACCCTCAGGAGGGGGCCCTTAGCCAGGGTGCAGGCCTACCTCTCATTTTGGGGACAGAGCCCACCTAGGATTCCCCCTCAGCTTCTCGGGCTCTTAGTTCTCTCCTTCAAGTTTTGTTGCCTCCCCTGTGTCCTTCCTCTCAAGTGACATCACTAGGAGGTCTAACCACCCAAGGTCAGACAGCTGAGTATGGCTTACTTACACCAAGCAGAGAAATGATTAGACTTTTCATCAGTCAGTCAACAAGCATTTACTAGGTGCCTACTAGATGCCAGGCTAAGCCTTTTTCACAAATGGGGAGAGAGAAAGAAGAGAGGAGTGGAGGAGAGAAGAGTAAACTAGATAAACGTTGAAATAGTCTTAATGACAAAGGGCCCAGAGTACATTTATCTGAATACATACAGAATCTCAAGGTCAGAGGGAACCCCAGAGACCATCTGTAATTTAGCTCTTTCCTGACCAAGAATCACATTCACGGACCCCACAGATGGCTCTATAGGGAAAGAGCACAGACTCTGGATCCACAGTTCTTGGGCTCAAAACCTGCCTGACGATTACAGTCTGACCTTGAACAAGTCACTTAATCCCCTGGGGGTCTCAGGTGCCTGGCTGGACTCCCCCCTCCCACCCCAAGTTTCTTCTAGCTGTACCTCAGTGAGCTACTCTCTTCATGCTGCCCATTCCACAGCTGGACAGTTTTCATCACTCACAGGTCTCACGCCCCCCCCCTCCCCACCACCACGCTGAATGGAAAGAGGCAGCCTAAGTACCGAAGAGAGTCTGCACAGAGTTTCAAAATTTCCAAATGGAGTGGAAATCAGCCTCTCTGCACCTTCCACTAATGGAGGGCTTTCCGCGGCTCTACTTTCTGACAGTTTCACTTGCTTCCCTGGGTTGCCTCCTCCTACCCCCAAAGCTGCGACCTCTGTACCAGTTGGCAACCCCTCGATACACTCGGGGCTAAGTCAACCCAGCCCTCTCGTTGGTTAGCAATATACGGATGTTTCTGCCAAGATTCCTAGGTCCCACCCTTTCCTATCTGACACCCCTTCACTCTCCGCGTGGACATTCTACGCCCCAAAGTTAACGGGCATTGGAACCTTCCTTTGGACCCTGGAGATCCTGAAATTGACTTCCCTCACACACCCCTCGGTTAACGGGCATTAGAACTTTCCTTTGCAATGGGGTCCCCAAACTGATATTCCACCCCCGGTCAGAGGCCACGAGAACCTTCCTCTGGAAGGCTACTGGCCTGCAGGCCCCGCCCCGCCCCATGGTCACTGGAAAATTGCTTTGGAAGGCCGAGATCATGGATTCCCCCCTCCTCCAGCTGTATTGGACTCTTCCCCCCCGCCCCCGGGGTCATCGGATCTTTCCTCCAGGCGCCAGAGCACGGGGCCGTTAACTGCCGGCCGCCTCGCTCCCTGCACCCTCGGACCCCGTCGGAGGATCCGCCCGAGCCCGCGGGGTGTAGGCACCTGCGAGCCCCGCTGCTCCTTCCAGTACTTCATCTGGTCGCTGGCTTTGTCTCGGTCGTCCGCCATGGTGAGGGAGCCGGTGCAGCGGGCAGCAAAGGCAAAGACGCAAAGACGGTGCGAGCTGGGCGGCGGTACTGGGCGCTCTGCCTCGCAGCCTGGCTGGCCCCCATACTCACCCGCAGCTGGAGGAGGCGTCGTCACGCTCCACCAATCAGCGCCCGCCCCTCGGCCGTGCGGCCCTCGGATTGGACGGCGGGCTCTCGCTCTGGCTTGGTCCGAGGGACACCATTGTGAGGGAGGGGGCGGGAACTCCATCTGCGGGCAGTGCGGGAGGGGAGCTCCTGGGAGGAGCTCCTGGGAGGAGCTCCCGAGGGGGAGGGGAGGAAGAGGGCGAACGGTCAAGTCAAGTCAACCAGCACTTAATGAAGCGCCTGCTGGGTGCCGATGGTGGTCTTTTCAGTGGTGCCTGACGCTTCGCGACCCTGTACAGGGTTTTCTTGGCAGGGACACTGGAGAGGTTTGCCATTTCCTTCTCCAGTGGATGAAGGCAAACAGAGGTAAAGTGACTTGCCTAGGGTCACGCAGCTAGTGAGTGTTTGAGGCTGGATTTGAACTCTGGTCTTCCTGACTGCAGCGTTCTATCCACTGTGCCACCTGGCTGCCTCTGCTGTTTGCCAGACACTGCCCTAAACGGGACAGGGGAGCACCCTAAAGGGGGCTGGAGGAAGAAGAGGAACCAGATTTGGGGAGAGGGTTGAAGGAAATTAGGATCTTGGCACCGGAGGGAGAGGGGACATCAGAGGCCATGTAGGCCGTCCTCATTTTGCAGATGGGGAAACTGAGGCTCACAGGTGAATCGACTAGCCCAAAGGCACCCAAGGGTGAGGTATTTTAGTATTTAATGCTTCTAAAACTCCGAAATTTTGTCTTGGAACCAAACGAATAGGAATGGTTCTAATTCACAGTAACACTCAAGAAAAACTGCAAAAAACAGTTTGCAAGGGGGAAGGATCAGAGGCAGGATTTGAACCCAGGTCCTCTGTCTCTGGAGCCAGTGCTGTCCGGCAGAAAGAGCACTGGGGAGGATCAGAGGCAGGAAGGAGGTGGGAGTGGGGAGGGGGCTGGCAGGAGAGGATGGGGAGGGAAGAAGGCAAGCCCAGTGGCCGTTTTTGACATGTCGGGATGACCTATTTTATCCAGCACCTTCAGGCGGCCCCACTCACCTCCAAATGGGAGAGTGCCAGGCATCCCAGAACCCATCTGCCTGCCCACCCTTTCCCTGCATACCTAACCTAGGCGGGCTAGTTGCCTGGTCTTCCTTTCTTGTCTCGTAGAAAGAAGGTTCTCTCAAGCTCCCTGAGACAGCTCAGGTGTGGGGCACCTGAAGAAGTCATCTCCTGTCTACCTTCCACCTCACCCCTGTCCTCTTTACGTAGCATGAGAGCTTGCTTGTACAGACTGTAGGTAGTGCCTTAACGTTTCCTGGGCCCTTCCGGTACCTTTTCTCACTTGATTCTCGCACCAACCCAGAGTCAGACAGGGCTGAAAACAACTGAACACCACCACCAAACGTACTGTATTTTTTTTTATTTTCCCATTTTAATCTAGTTGATTTATTTGGGAGTGTTGGGGTCCCACATGCTAGTAGTAGGCCATGAGTTTGGTGCCTCCGATCTACATCACCGGAGCAAATACCAAATTACTCACAACTTGGATCCATAGAAGTGTTGAAGGTGAGTTTTTGTAAATCGAGTTGTTTTAAATGTAGACTCAGCACCCGAGAATTGCTTTTCCTGCACCTGGATCTACATGGCACCAAGACACAGTTAACTGGGATTAAAAAAAAAAAATCAGACAATTTGCTGGGAAAAAAAAAAGTCTATCAGCCTGAATGTTCAGCCAAGAAGAGCAATCAGCCCTCCTCCCCTTGACTAGCATTACTTTGCCCTTACATGCACAGTGTTAAGCTTTCTGCATATTGTACCAAAGGTCAGGCAGCACATCATGACTGAAATTTTAAAAGAAATGAAGCTGGTGTGATACCCAAGTCAAGATAAACATATGCTTCTGATTATCTGCAAGTTGTTTTGCATGTTCTTGATAATTCCTATTAATTAGAACCACTCCTATTCCCTTAGAATGAAAACAAAGCTTCAGCAATTCAGAAATGGATTAAATACTGAAAGTCTTCTAACTCAGCAAGTGAGGAAAGCATACAAATACAGAGGAGAGTACAAAGGTCTCTCTCTCTCTCTCTCTCTGTCTCTCTGTCTCTCTCTCTCTCTCTCTCTCTCTCTCTCTCTCTCTCTCTCTCTCTCTCTCACTCACACACACACACACACGCACAGAATTTCATAATGGTGCTGATAAAGTTTCATGGGTTATAGCAGGAAGAAATGCTAAGCAGAGATGTTCAGCTACCTAGCTGCCTTAGTACAACATGTGTTGTTGTTCAGTTGTTTTCTGTCATGTCCAATTCTCCATGACCCCGTTTGGGGTTTTCTTGGCGGATACAAGGGGTGGTTTGCCATTTCCTTCTCTAGCTCGTTTTACAGATGAGTAAACTGAAGCAAATAGAGTTAAGTGACTTGCTCAGAGTCACACAGCTAGGAAGAGTCGGAGGCCAGATTTGAGCTCAGAAAGATGAGTCTTCCTGACTCCTGACTGAATACTCTACCCACCTAGCTGCCCTATAGTGCAACATAGATTGTGTTAATTTGTGATTTTTCTAAATCAGTATGTGACCTGCAGACATCCCTTTTCTATTTGATTTTGAGGCCTGTGGTATATATCAGAATTTATGCCTGCCTTCTCCTACTGAGGGATTTTCGTACGTGCCATCCAATAAGTCTATCGTAGATGGTCTACCCAATACACTAAAGGTCTTCCTTCTTGGTCTTTTAATGTTCTGTGGGTAACAGGGCAGTACAAAAGCTGTTCATCCGTTCTCCCACTTTCTTACTATGTGATTACATCACTACCTTTTCTGATCAGACATTGCCTGGATTAATATCCTTTCCAGCAAAACGAAAACAAAAACTCTCTTATAAACAAATACACATTGGTTATTCTCCAGCTTACTTACATCCATCTTAGGTCACCCAGAATTTGTGACGCTTCTGAGATTGTAGCATTCTGGGGATTTCATATGATAACACCATAAGAATATAGCGTTTTTAAAAATTGGCCTTTGTTTTAGAAAACAGCTGGGGATCATCAAAGGCACTGGGCAGTTTCCCAAATGTCATCAAGTCCATTCTTTTCTTCCATTTCAAGGACAAGCTTATTTTCCATTGTCAGTGCCTGTCCAAGGCATATGTATTAACTCTACATGGATATACATTGTATCATGAGTTACCCATACTACTAAACAGCATAATCTGGGAAGTAAGCATTCATCATCCACTTGGTTTTTCTTGTGTGCATTGTTAGGCTGAACTCTTTTGAGTAGTTCAAAATCTTTTAAAGAATCCTCCATACTATTCTGGAGCTTGATTCAACCCTAAGTCATTTGCAAACAGGAGCACCAGAATAACCTCACCATCAGGAAATTTCTCTTCCATTTGTATTTTTGTATATCTTGTCTTAGTGGTGAACGCTTGAGACAAACATACTTCTGCCTGTGTCATGCCGCCTTTTTGATACTAATAGCCAGAGAATCATTGAAACAAGTATGTAGTTGCATCAATCAGAGACTCTTGTATGATCTTAACATACCTGTGAAAGACACCTTGTTGGAAGATTAACTTTGACATTAGTTTATATACATATAAATAAATATATATATATATACATACACATGTGTGTATACATACATACATACATACATATTTAAATAAATGTATTTAATAAGTATTTAAATGTATAAAAACAGTACTACATTCAAAAAACAATTACCTTCTTCCTTTTCTCTCCCCATCCTCTATATACATATGTGTGTGTATATGTATATATACACAAAATATACATATATACGTATGATATAAATAGTGTATATGTATACTATTTGGGTATAAAAATCAGTCATACATCTTATACATGCATATACAAATTACTCAGTTTTGAGTCGTATAAGATTGCTTACACTTGTATCAGATATCGTGGGTACTCAGTATATATACAGTTGTGGAGATTTTAGTTTATTGTTGTCTTGCTTTAATAAAAGTAACATAGAGGCAGCTAGGTGGCGCAGTGAATAGAGACCTGGCCTTGGAGTCAGGAGGACCTGAGTTCAAATCCAGCCTCAGACACAACACTTACTAGCTGTGTGACCCTGGGCAAGTCACGTAACCCCAATTGCCTCACACACACACAAAAAAGTAATATAAGGATCTTTGAAAGTGGGCCTGTAATTTCACCAGTGGAAGGAGCCCCTGAGAGGAATTTCCTCTCCCCATAGGGATGAGGATCTGCTTTACAACCTGTGGTCCTGTAGTGGCCTGGGCCACTAAGAGTTAAGTGACTTGCCCAGGGTCATCTAGTTAGTGTGTATCAGCTCTTTATCCATGACCCCTCAACTCAGAATTAAGGGTACAGAAAGATAATCACTTCCCATCTTAACCATTGGCATTCATTTGGTCAACGGATCCATGAGCTGACCTGAACTCAGTCTAATGATTCCATCAGTAACTAAAGTCAATAATCACTTGAGTAAATTTTTAAAAATCCCAAACTAAAGACACGAGATACTCTTTTTTCTCCATATGAACTTGGTGTTCTCTCTCTCTTTTTAACCTCGTACTATCACTGCTGGTTTAGAGCCCTGAAAGCTATTTCTGTGCTTCTGACCAAGAAAAGAAACAGCTGCTGCTTTCAGGTGTCACCATATCCTGTGCCTCTGAATGCTTTAGGGTGTTTGCACCTGAATGCTACTGAATCTACATTCGCTTCATGCATAGAAGTATGTCTGTTGCTTTTAGCAAGGCTAGAATAGGAAGTATAATTGTGGTGTTGAGATAAAAAAAAATTCATGCCTGCACTATAAAAATAGAACACGGCTGCAAAAAACGTGGGATCCTGCTTTCTTCTGGTGAGGCAATTGGAGTTAAGTGACTTGCCAGGATCACACAGCTAGTAAGTGTCAAGTGTCTGGTTGGAGACCAGATTTGAACTCGGGTCCTCCTGACTCCAGGACTGGTGCTGTATCCACTGCACCACCTAGCTGCCCCATCTTATCTTTTTCAAACCAAGATATATTCAAAAGATTTTACTAAAAAAGACTGTAAATAGCAAGACAGACAAATATCACACACTCCTAAAATGTCCTTTTCCCCCCCTCTGAAACAAAGTAATGTCTATTGAAATATTTGTCATATATATATATATATGTATGTGTATATATATGTATGTGTATATATGTATATATATACATTTGTAAGATTTAAAATGTATCTGTAGTAACTTTGAATGCTACATCATGACTATCATAGTAGGTCAGATCTTGGGAGTTAAATAGATATTTTAAGCTCATCAAATAATAGGACTATGAACTTGGAGCTAGATGAAAACTTGGAGGTCATCTAATCCAATCCTCTCATTTGAAAAAGGAAACTGAGGCCCAGAGTGTTAAGTTCCTTGCTTGAGGTCACACAGGCAGTAACTGGCCAAGCCAGGATGAACATTCTAGGTCTGTTGTTCTGTTGCTTCTAACTCTTTCCCCCTGGAGAGAGAGGCAAAAATGTGGAGGAATTGGGTGACTAATTGGGTGATTGCTTCGTCCGCAGTGCGGAGAGAAAGAAAGATGTCTTGGACGGCTCGTCTACCATTGCTTCCAATTCTCAGCAGCCCAAGCACCACCATGGAAGCAGTGCTGTAAACAGCCTGAGTCTCAGAAGCAGCCTGAAAACCATGTGCTTTGCTCAAACCTGGCCTGCCCACATGGCCCTAAGAGGGAAAAAAGTTCATGAAAGCTCTCCTTATGTCTCTTTTCTCCCAGAGATCTCCAAACGATGCTTGGTTCTTTAGAGATGGCAAACCCAGCCATTTGGTGATGGCTCCTTGCTGGAAGGATCTGGCGCTGGTATGAAGAAGCAAACCCTCTCCCTCTAACCCCATGATAGCAGCACAAGGCACAAAGTCAGTTAAAACAGATGACTTCCAGCGGCCTCTTCTTCTCTATGCCCTCCCGTGAAAGGGTGTTGGGTGGGGAAGGGGGGGCAGAGGAGAAGCTGCCCCTCCTCCCACCTCAGCAGAAAGGGTGATTGGTCATGCATGGTAGCTAAAGTCCACGTCTTGATTAGGTAAGCCTGATCCTAGTTCCAGGGCTGCCTCTACTCTGCTCTTTCCTGACATTAGGTGAATCAGTATTGATCCCATTCATGTGAGTTTGGGCTTAGAGGCCACCTTGTGAGTTCAAAAGTTTCAACAGTCCTGAGTCCTTTAGTCAGAGCTGACTCATCAGAATCAGGAGGAGAGTACAGAGTCAAAATGAAATATAAAATGCCTTTTCAGCAGCCACACAAACTGTTTTATGTTCTGATGATGTTTAATGTATCAGCTTCCTAGAAGATTGCTATTCTATACTGTTGTAAGTTAAGTTACTGAATCCTATTTTTGTCTTTCTATCAATGCAATGCTTGTGAGTATTTTGTGTTTGGCATTTCTTTTGTGTGCAGGAAATAAATGTGTGTCTCCTACATGATTCATATTGGGCATGGAGTACCTTCATACTTCTCACTTTGGGGAAACCCTAGACCTGAGGCAAAATGTGAGCCTTGGACAATTTTCTCCAAAGGCTGTGAGGCTGGAGCTTGGAAAATGAAGATCAATCAATGAACAACATGGGGGAGGGGGGGTGGAAAGGACTCTAACCTTTCTAGGTAACTCAAATCCCTCAGGAATGAACTCAGTCTGGCCACCATATGCATGGGTCCAATGAGTGGAGTTTAATTGAGGGTTTTAATTTTGATTTTCTAGTTTTTGTTAGTTGCATACCCAATTCATTCATCTGCTTCTTTCTCCTCTTGAAAGTATTTGGAGATAAACATTTTCCCCTAAGGATTGTTTTTCCCTTTAGTGGAGTAAGAGAGGAAAATTGCCCCAGGCCTCATGAACTCAGCAGCAGTTCTTATTGTTAGATTATCAATAAGAGCATACTGTAAATGTATAGAGTACAATAAAATATAAAGTACTAGAACAAAAACCAATGATATCAATCCAATTATCTTTTGACTGAAAACAAAACTTCATACTGTGAAATATGGTGTGTTAAAGACATCCAGGAGTGTGTAGGTAGGGTGCCTAGCTGCCCCTCTTTGTAAAGGAGTTTTTCTGTCATCAGTTTCTGACAGAAAAGAATGATGGAACCAGTTTTATTTCTTTTGGCAGATGACCCAAAGCAGAATGGGAAGGCACAAAAAACTAGGTGAATTTTTTATTTGTTCACACTCTCCATCCACCTTCTCTCTAGGCTTTTGAAAATGGCATGCATATTTTAATGTAATTCTTTTCACAAAGTCCCTCAGAAATTAAGTAGGTGTGGAGTAGGGCGAGCTTAGAATAGTTGTACACAAATTAAAAATGAAATGGTGCACTCTAGGAAGGTTTCACAGCTGTTGACTTTTGATGGATGACAAGCAATGTTCATTATATGATTTTGGGCAAGGGGGCCCTGGGGGGGGGGAGAAGAGATTAAGGTGCCATTAGTTGGGGAGGAGGGGAAGAAGAATAGGTTCCATTTGTCAATCATTGCAGTGACTCATAAATCATATCTTTCTCACTCTTTGGCATGTTTTTCACATTTTCTTCTCCATCCTTTCATTGATGAGCTAAACTGGTGCTTCATCGTGGAATGGAGAGGACCCGGCTTTTCAAAGGCTAGACACAAGGTCTAGCAGGTGTCTGACAAGCCAGGAGATTTGGAGCACTGGCCTACTGATGAACTCCATTGTTGTCTAATGTCCATTCTCCAAGGACCAGATCTAAGTTCAGAACCCCGTTGATAAAATCACTAGCAGTGACTTTTTTTTTTTTGGCTCTGGAACCTGGCCATTTTTTTAAAAAATCTCCTAATACTACTTTTTGTATATCTCTGATTTTATTTGGTATTTATAACATGTCAGTTTTCTGCCAGAACAGACAGTGTTAGATGTGAGTGCAGACTGTTACTTGAGCTCAGGACAGAGTCCCAGTTGGGTTAGTGTCGCTTTCTTCAAAAAATCCACTTTCCCTCCCACCCCACTCCCCACCTTGGAATAGAAAGAAAAACAAAATCTTTGTAACAAGCATACATAGTCTTCAGAGCACTGGACTTAGAGTCAGGAAGACCAGAGTTCAAATCCCATCTTTGTTACCTACCAGCTGTGTGACCCTAAGCAAGTCACTTAACCTCTGTCTGTCTCAGTTTCCTCATCTGTCAAACAGCACCTACCTCATAGGATTGTTGCAAGGCTCAAATGAGACAAGATATATGCAGCATTTTTAAAAATCTGAAAGCCTTATAAATGCTAGCTATTGGTGTTATTGTTATTAGTCAAACAAAATAAATTCCCACATCAGGCATGTCCAAAAACTGTATGTCTCAACCTAAAGCCTGAGTCTGTCATTTCTATGTCAAGAGGTGGGTAGCATATTTCCCCATGGGTCCTCTGGAATTGTCATTGGTCATCATGCTGAACAGAGTTAAGTCTTTCAAAGTTTCAAGTTGCTGGTCGTTCTCATGTCATCGTCATTGTTACATTTATAAATTGTTTTTCTGGCTCCGCTCGAAACCATCCCCTCCATCATTTTTTATACTACAGTAACATTCCATCACATTTCATATGCTTTAACTTGTTCAGCCATTCTCCAATCAGTGGGAACTCTCTTGGTATCCAGTTCTTTGTCACAGTTATTTTTGTACATGTGGGTTCTTTTTGTCTTCCTTTGATCTCTTTGTGGTAATTAACCTATCTTTTTACTTTTTTGTTTTTTATTTTATTTGTTTAGTTTTAGTTTTCAACATTCACTTCTATAAGATTTTGAGTTCTATATTTTCTCCCCTTCTCTCCACTCTCTACTCTACCCTCCCTAAGATAGCATGCAATCTGATATAGGCTATACATGTACAATCATATTTAACATATTTCCACATTAGTCATGTTGTATAGAAGAATTAGAAGCAAAGGGAAAAAAACACAAGAAAGAAGAAATTAAAAAAAGAGAAAGAAAATAGTATGCTTCAATTTGCATTCAGACTCCATAGTTCTTTCTCTGGATGTGGATAGCATTTTCCATCATGACTCTTTTGGAATTGTCTTAGATCCTTGTATTGCTGAGAAGCATTAAGTCTATCAGAGTTGGTCATTGCACAATGCTGCTGATACTGTGTATAATGTTCTCCTGGTTCTGTTCACTTTTCTTAGCATCAGTTCATAGAAGTCTTTCTAGGGTTTTCTGAAATCTGCCTGCTCATCATTTCTTATTGCACAATAGTATTTCGTTACATTCATATACCATAACTTGCTCAGCCATTCCCCAATTGATGGGCATCCCCTCAGTTTACAATTCTTGGCCACCACAAGAAGAGCTGCTATAAATATTTTTGTACAAGTCTAATCTATCTTTTTAGCCTTATCACTTCTGTTAATGCAAATAATTCTCCACCCCTGCAGCTAAGTGGGGCAGTATACAGAGTGCTAGGGCTGGAGTCAAGAAGACTTTTATGTTCACTTGTTTCAGTCTTGTGTCCAATTCTCCATGGCCCCATTTGGGGTTTTCTTGGCAAAGATACTAGAGTGGTTTGCCATTACCTTTTCCAGCTCATTTTACAGATGAGAAAACTGAGGCAGAGTTAAGTGACTTGCCCAGGGTCACAAAGCTTAGTACTATCTAAGGCCAGATTTGAACTCAGGAAGATGAGTCTTGACTCCAGGCCTGGGCACACTATCCAGGGCACCACTTAGACTTGAGTTCAAATCAAGTCTCAGACATTTACTAGCTGTGTGACTTAACCAAGTCACTTAATACTCTGTCTGCCTCAGTTTCCTCAACTGTAAAATAGGAATAATAATGGCACCTACCTTCCAAGGTTGTTGTGAGGATCAACATACATGATATTATAAAGCACTTAGCACTGTGCCTGGCACATAGCAGGTGCTTAATTAATGTTTCCTTTTTTCGTGTAGCATATGACTCCTCTCTAAGCAGCTTGATATTCCAGCCAAACTGGGCTACTGGTTTGTTTCCCCTCCAAAAACATCAATATTCATCTCCTGCCTCAATACATTTTTCACATGTCATTTCCTATGCTTAGAATGCACTCACTTCTCAGCTGCACCCCCCAAATCTTTCTCTTCAATGTTCAGTTCAGTTGCCACATCTTCTATAAAGCCTTCACTGATTTCTACCAGAGACAATGTTCTTCCTCTCCTCAGATTTTCCTGGGGCACATTGTCAGGATCTTTCTTTTGCCTCTATCACACTCTACCTGGAATTAACATTTTTCCATATACAAACGATATTCCTCTCTTTCTACTTAGAATGCAAGCTCCCCAAGGGCAGAGACTGTGCCATTATCTACCTTTGTATTTTCCATGTCTTGCCTATAGTAGATACTTAATTAGTATCTATTGAATTTAATTGAATGAAAGTATATTCTAGAGCATGGAATATCTGTAATTTGCCTCAGTGGGTGAGATTTCCCACATCCATGAAATTATTGATTTTTGAAGTGACATGTTGAAGTCAGAAGTGAGGATAGCTTTAACAATAGGAGGCATCCTAAAACTCCTTCTATGGATGGTATTGGCCATTGTAAGAAGAATTAGGAGCTTTTTCTACATTGAATCTGCTCTAAAATGTAGCTGGTCTAAATAATTAAAGGAAAGAGAAAAGACATCTAAGTAGAAAGTTGTTATTCTTAAAGGTATGACAACATTCTCTTTGGCCTTTTGGCTAAATCTATTTGTAAGTATTTACAAATTGACTTCTTTAGAGTAAGAAATGCCTCTCATATATCTAGTTTAGCTTGTTTTTCAGCCATCCGTACCCCCTAGAGGAGTCAGTATTTTTATCTCTACAAGGCGTATGAAGATAATTACAAGTTTTTATTGAATATGCTGCATTTACTAAAAATGCCAATGAGATTACCATGAGCAGTCCTATCATAGCTAAACACAAATTTACAGGAGGCATTATCGACCTTTGCCATGTTTGCCCAAGAGTGACATGCCATCCTCTAGACTGATGATTGCCCCATGCTGGCTTGAAACTATTTTAGACAGAAAATCCTTGGTCTCCTTGCCAAGAGAATTCAGCAAAGGGCAACACTGGTTTAGAATATAAATTCATTCATAAACTCTTATGGATTGGATGGTAGAAGATCATGAACAGTGTCCTCTCATGAAACTCCAAGAATTGGTAGAGTGAAGAACAATTTTATAAAAAAGTTTGGCCAGAGACCTGAATAAGCCAATTATCCCAATGGTGTTATGAAACAAGAAAGATTTGTAAAGATATATAGATATATATACATACACATATATACATATATATATACACATACACATATATACATATATATATACATACACATATATACATATATATACACACACACACACACATATATATATATATATATATATATATATATATATGTATATGTATGTATATATACAAAGCAAACTTCCCCCCATGTTAGTCCTCTACTATTATAGTCTT